ACCTTTTGCTTTTACTTACTAGCAAAAGCTAGATATTTTAAGTATTTACTTAAAAATGTTATTTGGTAAATCATTAAAAAAACATGTTTTTATACTGATAATGCCTATATTTATATTTTTATGACTTGAATGGTTCGCGACGTGCAAAAAACTACAAAAAGGCAATACAAACATAAGCATTTGCTAGGAAAATGTAAGTTTTAGCTTTTACTAAATGTTTATTCACACTGCTCATTAGCAGAGTAGGAAAACATACCCCATGACAACGTTGATAATTTAATAAGAAGCATTCCAGCGTGGATAAGGGCTAGAGGTGGCAACACGAATTATTAAAATTATCAGTTTTCTTTTTTGTTTGCTTCATCTACGTTACCGTAGATGGAGCTGAATTTTCTTTTTGTTTTTGCTTTTTGACAATTAAAATTTAAATCTCATTTTGTTCAACTCAAACTCAACTCAAAAAATGCTATTGTCTTTATTTTGGGAATTGATTAATTGTTTTATTGCTATATGGATTATTGTTCATTAAACGTTTTTGATAAGGACTGAGTTTTATTCATAAACCCAAAATGTTCATACGTCTCAAAAATTATGAAAAATAATACCGTATGAACGAATAAAAACGGCGTCAGCGATGGCTATGAAATGAAGATCCCTGTCATTTTATATGTAAAATTATATGGGAAATATCAGTCATTTCCCAGCCAACTGGACGCCGTTTTTTTTTCGATCATACGGTAGATGATTTCATATAAGTTTAATTGTATTTATCAAACAGTTTCTTATAAATTACATATATATTATGGATAATATTGTCATTAAACTATTGTAAATAAGTTTCTATAGAAAGTAAAGAATTGAAAATAAAGATGTTAAAAACTATTGCATAAAATATATTTCATAATGTAAAAGCTGTGCAAATATCGTGATAAAGCTACATAAGACATTAGAATATAAAAACAAACGTTGATGGTCACATCCTGTACCACAAAATCTTGTACTCATATCATTCCTCTCTAACTTTACTATAATAGGTAAAAAAATTGGTACATCTTGATTGTGATGAAATCCATTAGATATTAAGTTAGGAAATATAACATCTTCTATAAATAAAATAATAATAATTAAAAAGCAATAATTTCGTTTCTTGTGAAGATCACCAGAAGAGGCGACGTTGCGTTAAAATTTGGCCTTTTCAAAAATATTTCAATAAATTTTATAAATTCGTTCGCTTTAAGATTTTTCTATTTTAACAATTATCTAACTATTTGCAATAGTTTAATAGAACTCAAGGATAACACGAAAGGTTAAATATATTTAAGGAAAAACAAAGAATAAACTTTATGGAGAAGATATTTTTTAAATGATGCATTGCTTTTACAATCTTGTTACCTAATATTAATTTATGTTATAAGCGGTCGTTATTTTAATAACACAATGTGATGTTTTATTTGCATAAAATATTTTTATTTACTTATTTAAATACCATAAAGATATACATTAATATTGACAGCATTAACATAAAATCTATATAAACACGATTTATATCTTCATAAATAGACAATGTGGTATGATCAAGTGATTTGTAATAAAAATACCTTATAGTTATTAATGATACAAGTTCGATACGAATCATAATGAAACGTGTGTAACGTTAAGCCACGAGGCGTTAGCCGAGAAGAATTCATGTCATTATTCCATTTACGAAAACAAAGATATCACGAGATTTTTTTTTATAACGAAAGGGAATATTGAAGGAATACGAGCCCTAACAACTATATGTTGGGACAAGGTCTTTTTTTGCAATAAAAATAGTAATTTGTTAAAACGACTCAATTTATTTTGTTTATTATTCTAAATTCAAACATTACAATATGATCTAGACAATTTTACTATATTTTTATAACTTTGCAAACAAATCACTTTTGATAATAGCTTATTTTGACAAAATCAAGCCAAATTTGCTGACAACTATATATTGGGACAGCACAACAAGAAATTTGTTTAATACGGAGTTACATCACCTTTCGCCTTAACAACTGCCTGAACTCTTAATGGCATTGTATTTACCAAAGATTGGCACATTTGAGGAGAAAAATTATCCCAAATTTCCTGCAGTTTTGTCCGCAAATCAAAAATTGTTCGTTGAAGGTGGTTTCTTAAATACTGCTTCATTTTATGCCACACAGTTTCTACAACATTGAGGTCCGGACTACTTGAAGGATGGGATAGAACTTTTATATTATTATTACCGAACCAATTTTTAGTTGATCTTGCTGAACAGCACGATGCTCAATCTTGTTGGAAAATATAGTCTTCGTTTGGAAACAATTCTTGAGCACTAGGCAAAAGTGAGGTCTCAAGAATATGTTGATATTTTTGGGCGTTAACAGTGCCATCTATAAAATTTAATTTGCCCAAGCCTCTTGCTGACATGCAACCCCAAACCATAATCCCCTTAGGAAATTTAACAACCCTCTTTAAGCAATCTTTATGAAAGGTTTCTGCTTTATTTCGTATTATTCGTTTTCGATGATCTCCAACGCAAACATCAAATTTAGACTCATCGCTAAATATGAACTTATTTCAATCATTATGTGTCCACGATAATTTAGATTTTGCCCAAGTGTAGCGATTTTTCTTTTGAATTTCTGTCAGTAGCGGTTTTTTTTTGGCCTAAATATGAATTTGTATCAATAATCTTCAGGTAATTGATTATCCACACAAAATAAAGTTTATCTTGTAAAACCCCAGACCGCCTTTGTGGATATATTTTCGGTAACATTCTCTTGATATATTTAAACCAGTTACAGTATTCCATTTAACTGTTACTTCGCGAAGAGTACTTCTTCTCGCAGACTTGCAAATTTTTACTAAATTTCGTAAATCTCTCTGAGATACAACTTTTGGCCTTCCCGAATTTTTTTTCCCGTCTACATTGGCAGATTCGCTGTATTTTTTTTATTATATTAAAGACCGTGGTTTTTGGAATACTTCAGAAATCATCAGAAATTTTTCGAATTGTTTTTCTCGTACTGTATTGACGAATGATAATTTCGTGTAGTTTTTGATTTGTAGCTTTTCCACGGACCATTACTTTGGATTAAATTAACAAAATTGAAAATTAAAAAAATTAAAATTTCTTACAGTAAATCTCACTACTCAAAGTATCGAGTCACTTACAAGCTGTCAATGCTGAAGTAAACAGTTTGCGACATTTGTGACGTTTATAGCAAAGCCGCCTATGATGATATTAATTATTTAAAAATACTTGTCCCAACAGCAAATTTGTCCTTTTATGAACAAAATCCGCTACTGTAAATATAGATTGATTTACAAATCCATAAAAATATTGTCAAGTTGTTTAGGATATATGGCTATGTTTATATTTAAAAAATTAAACATATATTTTTTCGTCATTTTGAAAAACCAGCATATTCGATTTTTTGTGGGGTACAAAAATGGAAAATGCTTAATACATTTTTTAATACCAAACCAAACCAAACCCGTTGGCATTAATATTTTAGGGAAAATGCCGTATAAAATAGCATTGTTCCTAAGTCTTCCAAATCCACAACAATACACTGGACATTGTTTCCGTAGATCGTCTGCGTCGTTGCTTGCAGATTCAGGAGTGGATTTATTAACTGTTAAAAGATATGGTGGTTGGAGCTCTAACACAGTGGCAGAGAGCTATATAGAAAATTCCAAAGAAAATAAGAAAAAAGTGTCATGTAATATTTTGGCTAACATTTCTGGCAATGATGGGTCTTCAACAAGTTCAAGCACTCAGGAAATAAATTTACTTTCTAAAAATTCAACTCTTTTTTCTTTTTTTTTTACTTTTTTTGCTTGTTTCTTATTTTAAAATTTGCGTGTTATTATGAATTCATAATAGCACTAGTGCTATTATGAAAGCCATAATGGACATCCAAATGACAATGTTAAATGTGTCATAATGACATTGTCGTAGATTAATTACATAATGTAGTTAGAAGATTTCCTTGCACTGAAAATCTATGTGAAACATCACTCATTTCTTCACCATAATCACCATATTCTAGAAATATGTCTTCGAAATTTTGGATTAGAAATTAACCGATTTTAAATAAGTGACTGACAATTTCAGACATTTAATTATTGTCTATAAATTTCCTCCTATGATCTATAACAGGGACCAGCAATAGTGCATCGGGTATCTCTCTAGCCTGTAGGTCATATAATAAAAAAGTTAGAAATTTTGTGTAAGTGCAAACTTAAAGTATGTACTAGGATGGATTTCAGGAAAATATTTTAACTTCTACAGGGTGGCTCAAGGAAGTGTTAGTGGATTGGGATGATTTTTTAATATAACTCCTTGTATATTATTGCATTTCTGGCTTCCTTTTTGACCACTTTACAAAATCCTAAGATATATGTTAAATGTGTTTAGATAGTTTTAAAGATATTAATAAATAAACAAAAAATATATATTTTTCAGCCTTGCGTAAAAAAATCATTACAAATACAAGGACTGTCCTGTAATCAAAACTATATAATACCAAAGATTTACTAATCTAATACCCCAATCAATCCGTATTTATGCCATATATTAACACATCAAATCTCGTATTTTTTTCTAAAAAATTTTAGGGGTGCGCCCCACTTTTGGAAAATACCCATTATATGAAAAATGAGATGTAAATAAAAAAAACGTGAAAAAAATTTAAAACCGCAAGACCGCAAAAGTTTTGCATATTGGTCTTGGTCTTGCATATTGGTCGATATTGGCCTTGGTCTTGCAGATCTCCTGCAAGTCTTGGTATTGGACTTGCTTTTTGTGTAAAACCAACACAGTCTCTCAGAAATTACATGTTATTTCGAGGGTGTCGGTTGACTACTAATAACTAATAATATTATTAAGATTATATTAATATTAAACGAAACATGTAATTAATAATAATTTTATAATAAAAACAAATACTTAAAAAAAAATAATTGCTAATTTTTCTCTATTTCAGATGAAATTAGCTTGTGCGGCGCTGTGCGTTGTGATAGCCGTAGTTGCCACACCAGTCCTCAGTCAAAATAGACCAGTGTCGAACAGGCCGGGACGTTTCCTTTCACTGCCAAATCCACAAAAATGTGCTAGCCGTAAGTACCATTCTTCGTACCAAAATTAATTATCAGCACCTACCCCAAAAAGTTGCTACTACAACACGATTCTAATAGCACAGTTTGGTAGTTGTTGGTCGCTCCGTACGATCAAATGAAAATTGGTTCATCATTCTTACTACTCTGAGGCTATGGCAATAAACACAGAACAGGGTTGTTCACCACATACGACACGGAGTATTGTAGCTAAACGATGAAATTTTTACAAATTGTAAGTTTTGAGTTCGATGAAGGACTATTAGAGGTACAATTTAAAAATAATTTTACAAGATACAGAGTGTCCCAAATAAGTAAAAAATATCAAAGTTGTATTTTTTTAAATGGAACACCCTGTATATTATTACAGTTTTAGTTTCTACGATTAAAATAAAGGTAAATTTGATTAAGATTTATTATACTTAAACCTTACCGTTTTTGAAATATTTTCAATTTTGTAAAATTGCAGTAAAAATTTTAAGGCTTCATTTCTCCAAGGGTATCAAAGTTTTTAATACTAAATATTTACTGAAGTTTATTTACTGATCAGTTATTGTGTTGCAATAATAAAAATAATACTACCTTATACAGAGTGTCTAAAAATTTATTTTAAATAATTATTAGCTTCAAACGGCAATAAGTTGTTTAATTTAAATGGAACACTCACGTATGGAACACGTATATTTTACGAGAATCAGATGCACAATTTAATTGTCTATCAAATTATATTATACCATTTTTTACCTATCCCTTTAAGTTTCCGTAGAAAATGCATTTTCTTGTAATTTAGAACTTATTTATCAATATACCCATGGACTATTGACATTTTAGATTATTTTTAAAGATGTACCAAATTTTTAAAGGTACAGATACTAATATTGTCGATATAATTCGTTTATTTCATTAAAAAATAAAAAAACTGTTTAAATATTTGTTAAAGAGGACCAATTAATATGATTCCAGTATTCAAACTACATTAACTGACTGTTTGCGTTGATTAATAATAATTGCTCCAAATACTAAAAAACTGAATTTTGTATGGGCATTAGACAGTGTGATAAAAAGTAACACCTTAAAAATGATATTTCATTTTTTAATAAATGCTTATTTATAACAACAAAGACTTTAATTTGATAACTTATTATTATATTGATTTCTGACTCAAAAATCCACATTTATTTATAATAATTTATTAACGAACACAATTAAGTATGCCATTAATTAGTATATGGGCGGAAATAATGGTGTTATATTTAATTTTAATGGTATACTCTTTTATAAAGATTTAAATAGTTTTCTTTTTGCATACAAATGGGCTAGTAATATTATCGTTTTGCTAAAAACGATAATATTACTAGTCTGTACATTTTGTACATTTGTTGCTTTAAAAACAATCTAAAATGTCAATATTCCATGGATATATTGATAAATGAGGTCTAAATTATAAGAAAATGCATTTTCTACGAAAACTTGAAGGGATAGGTAAAAAATGGTATAATACAATTTAATAGACAATTTAATTGTGCATCTGATTCTCCTAAAATATACAGGGCATTCCATTTAAATTAAAGAAGTTATTGCCGTTTGAAGCTAATAATTATTTAAAATAAATTTTTAGACACTCTGTATAAGGTAGTATTATTTTTATTATTGCAACACAATAACTGATCAGTAAATAAACTTCAGTAAATATTTAGTATTAAAAACTTTGATACCCTTGGAGAAATGAAGCCTTAAAATTTTTACTGCAATTTTACAAAATTGAAAATATTTCAAAAACGGTAAGGTTTAAGTATAATAAACCTTAATCAAATTTACCTTTATTTTAATCGTAGAAACTAAAAATGTAATAATATACAGGGTGTTTCATTTAAAAAAATACAACTTTGATATTTTTTATTTATTTGGGACACTCTGTATCTTGTAAAAATATTTTTAAATTGTAGCTCTAATAGTCCTTCAACGAACCCCAAACTTACAATTTGTAAAAATCTCATCGTTTAGCTACAATACTCCGTGTATATGTGGTGAACAACCCTGTATATGTTTTACACGACTTTCGGGCAATAAATATCAAAGTGTTGGGTAAGACGAGATAATTATTATGGATTTATTAAAAGCGAAGTGAAGAAAACACGATCTACAATAATTCAAACGTGAGAAAGTGAAAATATTCGATGTTACAAATTACAGTGATGCGTGTTATTCGAACAGAACATACTGTATATCTGTATGTTTGTATCGGTAATTAGATAGATGATGCTGAAAAATTATACACCTGCATTCCTGGTGTGTGATTGAAAATACTATTCTTAGTAAAATATATCGTGATGCTTGTTAAAGTTCAATATTATTTTGTAAATCGTTGCGTTTTTCAGTTTTATATTAAATATAGAAATAGTTTAATTATTAACAAAATAGAGACGTACACTGTTAGCATTTTATTTTATGAGTTATTTGTATAAACTCTATTTTTTCAGTGGGACATACTGTATATTAAGCGTATATTGGATAGCAAGATAGCGTATTGTGTACTGATTTCAAAAATATACCTATCACATATGTAGGTACACCTTTGCTTTTACATATCGTCCCGTTGCTGCCAAAAGCCACTAACTTACTTTTTATTACTTCCGAGAAAAATGCGTCTAAAGATGAATTGCATTGCATAAAGATGTTATAGTTAGTAACTATTCGGTATTAAAATAAAACATAAATAGCCAGAAATCGTTGTTAATGACTTTTGCAATCGATTCTCCGATTCAAAACATAGTTAATGATTGAATTTGGTTGTTCGGAAAAATGTTAGTGAGTTTTGACAGCAATAGGACGATATGTTTATAGAAATTCGATGTAAATACACTATTTTTAATATGTTAAATGGTTTGACCTGATTTTTAATAAAGAAGTAAAAATATGGTTCATATGAAATAAACTTTTAGTTACGTCATCATTTTAGAACATCTTTTAGTACGAAGTATACAAGATATCTTAATAGTCGTAAAAAGCGGTAGTAATGGCTCTTTCTATCCCTTAAGTGCTGTTAAGATGGTGAGTTTTGTTGTGACCTAAATAATATGAGTTTTGTTTGTGACCTAAATAATAATTGTTTTTATATTTATAATTAATTTATTTTTGTTTCCTAAAATATTTTGATTAAAAAAAATTCGAGGTCCGAATTGTATTCGGGAAACTTCGGCAGCATATTCTGCAGATAAAAATAAGTAAAAAAGCTCCTATAAATGTATGTCCTAAAATGCTTAATTTCGGAGATACAGGGTATAGAAATTTCATTTTTTATTCAATTTTTTCTAAATAATTTCTGTCTAACGTCGATATTTGAATGAAAATTAGTGTTTGGACTTTTTTGACACGAGAAATTTGATTTTGATGTCAATGTCAATATGCCTCCTACTTCTAAAAAGCGCCACCTACATATTTTTTAACTGGTTTGAAGAGTAATAACTTTTCGTCCGTACAAATTTTTCAGTCCTTTTTAAAATGTCACTGCCCCTAAAGTATAGTTCCTAGGCCCACTCTGCCACTTAAAATGTTACTCTATAAGGAATAGTCACTTTGAAGTATATTTCGAGAGTGACCGGTTACTCTACCTATCATAAAAGTGGAAAATAAACATCCCGATTGAAAGTAGCAAATATGTAATTTAAAGAACTGGCTGGAACTACCCGAATCTTCGAATATGACACCATAAAAGACCAAAAACTTTATAGTAACTTTTCAAAGTAGGGGTTACCAACAAGTGCTACCATAATGCCTCCATTAAGTTTTTGTTACTTTATAGTAACAATTTAAGTTACGGGGTAGTCGCGGCTACGATACCTAGTTACTTCTAATTTATAGTAGCATCGAAAGTAGCAAAATAGTTACTGCTACCTTCCTAGGTCACTAAAAAGTAGCCGTCGCTCATCCATTGCCACTAAAAAGTCACGGGGGTCAAAAACGGCTATTTTATAGTGACCGTAACTTAACATACCCTAATAAATGTAATTGCCTCAGATTGCATCGTGTGTTGCTCTGTTTTAGTGTTTTCTTTTACTTGCTTTTAAGCTTTATTAATATTTTGTAAAATCCCTAAGGTGAATAAAAAGAAATTTAGACATTCTAGTACTTTCTACCGAAGAATTAAACAAAAGGAATCACTGCGAGCCGATGCATCAACATCAGAAACAAAGACTACGTCTTTCTATAATCCTACTGATGAACATCATAAATCAGGTAGTGACTGAGACATTTTTGAAGCTGTTTCTGTAGATGAGTGTAGTGTTAGTTAATCAGAAACTGAATCTCAGAGGAGAACTAATTTGAGAACCAACAATATAAAACAAGAGCTAAAAGAGTGAGCGTTAAAATGCTCTATACCTCATGTAGCTCTGAATAATATAGAAACACTAATAATAGAAAATGCACAATAAGTAAAAAATAACTTCAAGGGACAAGGCGGAACGTTATAGTAGCACCAATGGAATGTATAGTCGCCACCACCGCGATCGGTGTAGCAAAGCTCCAATTAAGTGGCAATTTGGTGGCGCAGGGAACTTTCTTGGAAAAATCACTTTATGGTTCCAAAGAATCGTTGACCATGTAGTTCCAAAAAAGTTATTGTTTCTATAAAGTCGCCTTTGGATAGCTACAATTGTCACTTTATCAATCCGAAGATTTTAAAGGTCCAAACGGGTAGGATTGGCCTAATATGTTACTGTTCCCGCTACTTCGTGGAAGCATATAGAACTATAAAGTATTTTTCGGATTAAACGGCCATATTTTTTCATGAATTTTTAGACGAACAGCCAAATGGCTCAAACATTATGCGTTTTTAAGCTAAATATACCTAGATTAAAGCTTTTTTCCTTAGTTATTTTGTTATTTCTGACGGTGGACTAATATTTTAAAGTTTGACCCCGGTTTCAAGCAAATTATTATTATTTTTTAATTACAAACATGAGTTTCTATTGCAAATAATATAATAATTTGAAATATTTTGA